GCTTGTAAACATGTAATTAACATTAAAGACAATAAAATGATAAAGAGATAGAGGCTTAGAAAGAACCAAAAGAAAACTCATCAAGGAAGGACATGAAGGTTACTGCAATAAGTTTACATAAACATTCATCCTTGAATATTCCCGCTATTATTAGCTGTAATAAATAACTAAACAGGATCTTTCCACCAATTTTACCTCTAATCTATATAACTTATGTCTTTCTACTTGTTTTCTTAACATTACTGTATGTTTGATTCACTTATTAATGAGGTTTGGATCAGTGAAGAAGCAACAGTTTGGCTCAAAGGCTCCACCTCTTGGTTCACTTAGAAGGAAAGTGTTTCATTTATACTGAGAGCAAATAACAGATTTATGATTTAAATATCACTGCATGCAGCATCTATGTTGTAGGGAAGCTCTCTCCGTATCAGGAGGTTTATTAGAATGAATGTTTGGTTCACAAATTTTTGTTTTTATCATGTTGAAAGGACCAGTTAGTGGATGCTTGAATGACCAAACAGAACAATTTCTGACATGTATGGTAGACGATTTAACTCTTAAAACCATCCCTCTCTGTCTCCTGCAGCTTTTAGGTGTTTCTCTGGTCCTTTCCTCCTGAACAAATCTCTGAACTCTCTCCTCAGAGCGCTGACAGTGATTGAGGAGCGTTAGAGCTGATGGATGTCTAAAAGCTGCAGGACACCCTCTACTTAAGGCTCCAGTTCATTTAACCTCCCTAGGGTCAGCAGTAAGATCTCTATCCCGGGTAGGAAAGGAGCTCTAGACTGCTGTGCAGAATCCAGACAGCCTTTAGACGTACGGACGTCATTATGGGACGGAACACATGGATGCTGCTATTTAAATTGGGTTTACAGCAATTAGGGAAAAACTACAAAAGACAAAATTCACACAAACCTATTAAACGGCTGAAGCTCTAAATGATAAAATCAAAATCATATAAAGGCGTAAATATTAGCATTAGCTTGTCACCCCGATAAGAGTGAAGAGATCATGTATTTTTGTTAAATTCAGAGAGCTGGGCTGACACTGTACGTCATGTCACCCAAAGGATTGTGGGAAACGGCATAGCTCCTAGTGGGGGATAGGAGCATCTATGCAAATTAAACTACAATAGGAAGCGTCCTGTTTCCTCTTTCTACCTCCTTCCTGTCAGCACTGATCATGGCGACTGCTGACCGACTTCTGCTTTAGCTAAAGAGTCCCAACAGGTTTGCCCAATTCTGAGACTCCTGCCATCAGTGAGGAACACAGTGGTTTACATTAGCTACAGGTGGAACAGAACCAGTGAGCCGGTCTCTTTCTACCACAGGATCCATCTCCCTCAGAGGCTCTAGGGAAGCAGCATGAGACTCTGAGACTATAGTGGAGCTGAGGAACCAGCTATACAGAGAGTTTCTGCAGTGAAGGTTTAGAGTTTTTATTTTTATTTAAGGCCAAGGCTGAACATCTGCACTATCATAGACGCCTCTGCTCCAAAGAAACATCTCAGTTCAAGCTTACAGAGAAAGAAGAGGTATAAAAAAGGCTGATGTATCTAAATATGGATTACATGAAGGCCACCATAATAACCCGCAGGAAGAAGCACCCAGAGATGTAATATTTAGGAGAAATATGGAGGCAGATCGAAGTAACCTAGATGTTCACAGCGTATTTCTTGTCCTTAGTTTACGGCAGCAGATAAATCCGATTGTAGCAGCTACCAGAACCAGCACGCCCAGTATCAGGCCCACTATCAGTCCCACGTAGCTGACTGGTGGCTCTGGAGAGAGAAAACACGGGACAGAGGAGGCCATTACTTAAAGATCACTGGAAGAAGGTGGGAAGAGACAAACAAATGAGACAATTCAACTAAAGTGATGACGCTTAAAGGTTATCCTAGAGAAAAAGTTTAGCTCTGAACCCCAAACCTGCTGCAGATAAGCATCTTTGAAAGACACAATGTTTTTTTTTTTTTTTTTACTAGGGATACACTGATACTGTACTGGTATCAGGCCTAATCCTGTGTTTGTGTTCTCGTACTTCTACCCATACATGTAATATGATACTAATGTGTAGGTTAATTGATTATTGAAATTATCGTCAGTAATCAATTAATCATTAACTGGAATAAATGAAAATTATATAAACATATATTTTAGATAAAATATATAAAGATTTATTTAAACCTTTAAGATAAAAGAAAAACATTTTGTCTGTCAACATGCTCTATTCTCCTCAAGTTGAAAACTTCGTTTCAGCTGATTTAATTTCATAAAAATTCTTCTTTAAGAACCCTTTTGCGATCCGATTATTAATCGATTTGCTAAGTAATCGTTAGTTGCAGCCTTAGATATATTACTAGGAGTTCAATAATTTACCAGTATTAAAAGTTAACGTTATTTAAGTGATCTGTAGAAAGGCAGAACCACATAGTTTACGTCACCCGCCTGAGATTATCTATGACTTAAGAAGCCAGGCTGTTGAGGAGCCGCCATGTCAGCGGTGTGGGGGTATTTCCAACTGACCGAGAGAATAAGCCTAACATGATTGATTACAGAGGGAATCCTGCTGTTAGCTGAGCATCCAGACTTTGGTCGGTAAGCAGAGCTCTGCTGCTCTGAAAACAACTCCAGGCAGGTTTTAAGAGGAGAAAAAGCTCCATCTCACCTGAACAAGAATCAAGGTCAAATTCTACCTTTATCAGAGAATATGGCCGAAACTCTTCAATATGACTAAACTGTAATTTAGTATTTAGGATGGATAGTACTAAAATGTCAGTACTCTAATTTTATCTCCAGTTCAAAAGAAGGGTTTAAAAAAACTGTTTTTTTCCTAAAATGATTAAGGAAATACAAACTTCCTTTTCTAGACCACTATAATTTTGTCAGATTTTTCCACATCTGC